TTGCTACTATTTTGATTATAATTTTGCAGATTTTTACAACAGATTTTTTCTATAATTTTCTCCTGATTCTGTCTCTTCCTGATTTAGGTTATTGAGATCATAACTGAATGATATAACAAATCTGGGAGGATCCCCTCTTTTCCTGTTTTTGCAAACACATTACGCAAAATTGCAATTAATTGCTCCTTTAAAGTTTTATAAAACTCATTTGTAAATCCACTTGATTCTGGGATCTTTTTATTTGGGAATTCATTTACTACTGCTTGATTAGTTTCCTTTTCTGAAACTGGGTTATTTAAATTTTGTATTCCTTGTGCTGTTAATCTGGATGTTGCGTATTTTTCAGGATTCATCCATTTCCTTTAAATGATCAATTCTGTTGGAATATAATTGGGCAAAGGTGTTTCTAATAGTTTCCTTCATTTCTTCTCCAAGCGTTGTGATTTCTCCTTTCTCATTTTTTATACTGGCAAGAGTAAACTGAGTTAATGGCTCATCAATTTTGGTTTTTTAAAGTGTCTAATTGTATTTATCAATTCAAGATTCATCTGGTAACACTGTCTCTTTCCAGTTTCATCCTTCTTATATGTGTGTGTATGCACACACATGCATATGTGTGCCTATGTTCACACACACACACACACACACTCTCTCCTCACAGCTACTACAGTGATTTCTCTAAAGCACAGGTATAAAGACAACAGTAACTAGCATTTATAGAGCACCTACTATGTGCCAGGCACTGTGCTAAGCAGCATAAATATCATCTCCTTTGATTCCCACAACAACCCCGGCAGGTGGGTGCTGTTACTATCCTCATTTCACAGATGAAGATACAGACAAGTAGAGGTGAAGTGACTTATCCAAGAACACACAGCGAGTAAGTGTCAACGGCCAGATCCGAACTTCCCAGCAGAGCCCGGGTTGAGCCAGGTCACTCTTCTACTTACTAGGGGCCTCCACAGCTCCCTCCCGCCTAGCCTAGGACCAAAGATCAATGGCTTTGTAGGCTTGTAAAGATCTCCATGGCATGGCCCCGACCCCCCCCTTCCAGTCTTATTTCTTATGCTTTTGCTTTCCTGCTGACCCTGGCAGTTCAGACCATCCTTGCCAGGCCTTGCCACTCTTCCTCGCACTGGGTACACTGCCCTCATCTCCAGGCCCTCACACTGGCCTCCCCTTTAAAGGCCAATGTTCATGAATCCATATATGCTACAGTGCCCTCTCCTGTCTGCCATGAGGGAACTGAAAAAAGGGAAAAGCCGCTAAGTCTGTGGGTGAACGGTACTGGGGTCTCCCCTCCGCCCCCATGCCCGGGGCAGGAGTTCATGGGAGGGGGCTCAGAGAGGGCAGGCGGTACCTTTCCCTTGTGTACTTTGGGTTCCTCTGACATCTCTGCCCTCCCCTCCCCTGCGCACCATGTGTCCTTTCATGGCCACTCTGTTAGGAAAAGGTCCTGTCATCAGAAATCACGTTTTGTCATAAAGAGTCATACGCCGAAAAGTGCATTCCCAGCAATCTCTTGTGCGAGACGACCATCTGGCCCATCTCCCATAATGTTCACAGCACCGTCTCACAAGAATATTGCCCTGTGGAAGCCGAGGCCTGGCTGTACTTATTTATGGACAGATTGTTTCCCCCTCGGCCTCAACAGAACGTAAGCTCCTTGTGGGCAGGGCCCGTTTCATTTCAGTCTCTTTATCCCCAGTTCCTGGGAGAGCTGGGCACCCAATATATATGAAGAAAGTGAATGAGCTCTAACTTATTACTGTGACGCAGATCAAGCTGGCCGCCTTCGAATGCCCGGCCTCCCTACTCTCCCCGTCCTAGAGCAGGGCGGCCGCAGTTACACCAGCCCTTTTCAGGAGATGCTCCTGAGTTGCATCGCTCTGCACTTGGAGGATGGAGCCCATCAAGCCTGACCATCGTATTTGTGACACAAAATTAAATTCAACACAAATAACAAAGGTTATTTGCCCTGTGCAGGCAGGTCCTTCAGAGACAGCTGCCCCCTCTCCTACTTCCCAATCTAAATGCATCTGAGGCACAGCAGTCTATTGGAGAACCCAAGACCTCCACCCAGCACAGAAAACACCAGTGCAGCATTGGGATATTTCAAATCACTTATTTAAGCAACTCATAAGTATAAAGGATTCACATTGAAACCTGGTACTCCATGGAGAGTTCACGCCCCAGGAGGCTCTGACTCTTTCTGTCCAGTCCCAGAAGTCGGTACTTTCTCAGGCCATTCCCCCACCCCACCCACTCCTAAAATCTGGCCATTTAAAATGTCTAGTTCTTGTTCTGGTTATCGGGGTATTTTCTATTTTTATAGGTAGTTAACCACCTCATCTAAACTATTAGTTTTTTGGCATATAATTGGGCAAAATAATTTCTGATAAATTCCTTTATTTCCATCAGGCAGTCAAGAAATATTAAGGGCTTCCTGTGGCTGTGGGTTGTTCCTGGAAAGGTCTCCTACAGAAGGTGGGATCTGGGCTAAATCTTGAAGGAGACCAGGGAAGGTGAGAGAATTTAGGCTGGGGGAGGGGCAGCAAGGTAACTAGCCATTAGGCATTCCTTTTTCATATGGGCAATTTATTTTTCCTCCTTAAAAAAAAAATCAGATGACAAAACCATTTATTTTGTTCTTTTTTTATTCAAAAAAGCTCACAATTTCATTAATTCAATAGGGGTTTTTTTGGTTTCCCAATTTATTAATTTTCTCTGATTTTCAGATCTCTATTTCAGTGTTTAGTTGGGGCTTTGATTTGCCACCTTTTTACTATTTTCAGTCATGTACCTCATTCACTGATAAAGTGTTGAGAAATCATTGCCTAAGGAAGTTCTGCTTTGACTGTCCCTCACAAGTATCCTCTCATCAGCTCTTAGGCACTGAACAATCACCTCTATGCTGCCGTTCCTACCCCCAACTCTCGCTGACCTCCAGACTCACATCCAACTGCCTTTCAGACACCTCAAACTGGGTGTCCAGCAGACATCTCAAATGTAACATTTGTAAAACTAAACTCATTCTCTCTCCCTCCAGACCCTCCCCTCACCTAATTTCCCTCTTACTGGGCAGGGCAGCACTTCTTCCCAGACCCTCAGGCTTCCCCATGTCCAGGTTGTTGCCAAGGCCGGTAAATTCTCATTTGGATTACTGGATTACAGCAGTAGCTGACAGTGCAACTGCCTGCCTTCAGGATCTCCCCACTCCCGTCCATCCGGCATTCAGCCGCCAGGGTGATTTTCCTAAAGCGCAGTCCAACCACGTCACACCACCCCCAACCTCCAGTGGCTCCTTGTCACCTACAGGATTATGCTTCACTAAGAAGGCAAGGGGTCCCTGGCTGTGAGTTTCTTCTTCTCCCCTTCTCTATGTCTCAAAACACCCTGACACCATACCCACGTCTCTCCTCCAGTCTGAGATGAAGAGACCCTTCTCCCCAAGGCCGATGGCTCTCTATGTGACTTTGCAACACATGGAAACTTTAAAAACTAAAGAGGTAACTTGATACGAGGCAACAGGAAGCAATGAGATCAAACATATATCCTTCTCTTTGGCCCTGACAGCCCTAACCTAGCTGGCCAGTACTATTACATTACACATCAATCTCCTCCCTGTATTCTAAAGCCCTCTCATGCTGCCCTCTTGCTGTCCCTCCCATAGGACACTCCCTCTCCCATCTCAGCACCTTTGCACTGGCAGTGTCTCACACCTAGAAAGCACTCCCCCTCCTCACTGCTGCCTCTTAGAATTCCCACTTTTCTTGATGAATCAGCCCCTTCCTTTCTTGACCCCTCCTCTAGGACTGCCCTCCCCGCCCACCAGATTACCTCATAGTGATTCTGTGATATATATTTTGCCCAGTCCTGTCCATTCCCAAGAGAGTATCAGCTCCTCGAGGGCAGGGACTGTTTCATTCTTGTCTGTGCCCCCTTGGAGCCTCGCACAAAGCCTGGCATGAAGCGAATGCTGAAGCAACGCTCTGCGACCAATCTGCGTCCACGAAAAACAGAGTACCCTGGCTCTGTCAGCAGCTGATGCGAGTCAACTTTGCTGACCTTGCAAGACTTCCATCCTTGTGGCGGCTGCCATCTAGCTCCAATACTTTTATCTTGGAACACCACCAGGAGAACGTCAAGCAATGGGACGAAATCCAACCGACAAACCAAACGGTAGGTAAGAGAGTGGGTGGATGCAACAGCTCTAAGCGCAATCATTTGATGCGGTGATTCATGGAGGCACGAATCCTAAGATCGTGTAAACAGAATACATTTCATCCATTATGGTCAAGCCGCTGGTGAGTCTCGTCTCGGCCTTACATAAAGGCACTTTCTTGGGCTGAGAGAAGAATTGGCTGGCATACCTTCCCACAGGCCGCACTACACGACTTTTGTTGTGATTCTGTTCAACAGTATTGGAGAGCATACACCAGAACACATCGCAATCCAAATATGTCTATGTCTTTAAAAAGCAACAAATATCAGCATCTACCATGTCACTGGAACTGCCCAAGTATCAGAAAGACCTAACTTCTAATATACTTTGTATACCTGTTCCTAGTTAATTTACAAGCTCAATATTTTGTATAAATCAAAATTTACTCCAAACTTCTACCCTCTTTTCATAGTTGTGTTTTCATGCCTCTTCATAGGAGCGGTACCTAACAACAAGATGATCTGTGTGTGTGTGTGTGCGTGTCTGTATATACACATGGGGAGACAGGAGTGGAGAGAAGACGTGAAGGGCACTGGGGCTCCCAGTGTTGAGAGTGACCTCCCTGAAAGAAGGAAAAGAAAGGCCCCCTTGGGTCAGCTACATGCTCATCCTCCCTGGCGTCACACTCGAGCTGCAGAAGGAAGGTCGGAGGCACTGGGGGCAGGCCCCAGCCGGAGAGCCTTTCCTCCTGGTTCAGATGCCCAGCATCTGCAAAATGCTTCCAGCCTCGTCAGCAACGCGCCACGACTGAGCCCATTTTTGATGCGCTACTTACACTGGCGTGGTGGGAAACATTGCCCACAAGGCTGAGGTTCTTGAGAAGCTGGGGCGAGCCGCTGTACTGGCCTGAGATCTGCTTCCTCACTTCAGCTGCCACTGTTCTATGGAAGGAAGGCAAGTCACAGATTAGAAAAACTTGTACAGCTGGAAAAAGGAATGTTGGGGACAGTTATTTTACACCAATGTTTATACAAAATTAACCACAATTAACTAAAACATGGTTCTGAGAGAGGAATACATGGCAACAGAGAAATAAATAAAAGTGGGACACAATGTCACCTCCACAGCCAGGTGGTGGCATTGAGGGAGAGAGCACCATTCAAATCCTGCCTCGGGCACATACAAGCTGTGTGGCCCTGGGCAAGTCACCTAACCTCACTCAGTCTTCTCATCTGTAAAATGGGAGTGATGACTGCACCTACTTCACAGGGTGCACATGAGGATTAAATGAGATAATTCATTCAAGTGTTTTTACAAACTTAAAGTACTGGATAAATGCTGGCTACTATTATTATTCTTGTGGCTGTTCAGTCACTTCAGGAATGTCTGATGACCCACGACCCCCGAGGTTTTCTTGGCAGAAGTACTGCGGTGGTTGGCCATTTCCTTCTCCAGCTCCTTTTATAGATGAGGAGACTGAGGCAAACAGGGGGAAGAGACTTACCCTGACACCATACTTGTAAGTGTCTGAGGCTGGATTTGAACTCAGGAAGATGAGCCCGGGCACTGTGCACTAAGATGCCACCTAGCGGCCCCCATTATTATTACCCCAAGCCTATAAATGAACTGATTCTTCCGAATAAAAAAAAAGCAGAAAGACAATGAATTCACTTTTAGACTTGCTGAATTTAAGACATCCACTGAACGCCGGGAAGAGCAGTCTGACAGGCAGAAGAAGCGCAGCAGAGTGGTGTCCAGAAGGCCTAGAGAAGAGGGTGATGGACGGTATCAAAGGCTACAGAGGTCAAGGATGAAGACTGAGAAATGGTCAATGGATCTGGCAAACAAGAGAGGGCTGCTTTGGTGGAATAAGGAGGTCTGAAGCCAGACTCAGAGCTAGGCAGGGAGGGAGAGGAAGTGAGAGGAGAGAGGCAGAGGCATCCAGGTGACTGCAGATGAGGACAAGGAGAGAGGCAGCGCATGGGGAGTGGTCGCCATTTTTCTGTAACAGATGAGGCCAGATTCTCCGCTGAGAGGCTGGGGGGAAGGGGAGTCACGGGAGGCTTGGGGAGGGATGAAAAGCTTTGGAAGAGCCACTGTGGGAGCTGGAGAATGAGGAGACAATGTGGATGTAGGGAGAGTGCCCGGCAGCAGGGAGGGCCCAGCTGGGTCTGGGTAACTGGTCTCTTGTGGCCCCAGTCAGAACAGCAGTGCAGTTTTCTCCACCCTTGTTCAGCCGCATGTGTGCAGGAGTGAAGGTGACACGTGGTGGAAGTAACCCAAGACTGTGGCTTAGCTAGACGGGAACAGTACGATGTGGGGATGGGACTCAAGGCCTTCAAGGGAGTATAGAGTTGGCGTGGTTCACCCAGGGGAGGGGAAGGGATTTGAAGTCGTGATGTTGAGGAGGAACAGGGATGCTGACAGCTTGTGAACATCTGAGGGAATTTCAGAGCTCGTGGAAGTGGGGCATGTGTGGGTGGGGATGGTCATCTTTGTGTGTGGCTGAGATCGACGGGCGGGTCAAGTTGTGGTGTTTGAGGAATGAGTGTGTATGCTCACGTCCCCAGGCAGGAGGAGGAAAGAAAGACTGTTAGCCATCTACTGAGCTCATGAGCAAACAGGAGTACCACCATGGGGGTCAGCAGACATATCTGCCAGAATTTAGACTGGGAGGAAAGTGTGGACAGAGAGGTTACTGAGTAATAGTGGTAAGTAAAGGGAGACCCTGGCCATGGTGCTGAGAGCAGGGAGGATTCCTAGGCCTCCACCTTGACCTGGGGGAATGTGTGAAAGTGCAGCTGAGGCTGGAAAGAGCGTCCAGGACAGCTGGGTCATCAGGAGGGGGCCAAGTCTCAGTGAGAGGCCAGAGATGGAAGGAGGGGGAAGTTTGTGACCTAGAGAACAAGCATTCCAGAGAGCACTGAGGAAGGGCTGGCTTCTACAACAGGACATGGAAGGATGGGAGCAGGCAGTGTGAGGCAGGAAATCGGTTCTTTAAGGAAGTGCTTCATAAGTATTAAAGCACTATATTACTATTCAACTCAGCTGAAAGGGCATCATTTTAAATGTGAGTTATCTGGTCACCCGCTGCCTCTGTCCTTGCCCAGAAGGTCCCTCAAGCACTTATGTCCAAATGAGTAGACACTGAGTCCCCCATCTGGGTTCAAGTTTATTTCCTTTTTTGTTATGAATTTAACAATCAACAAAAACAAACATTTCAATATTAGAGGAATAAGAAAGAGAACTATATAAGAAATGGTGGATTTCTGCTACACACAGTTTAAATTTAAAAAGGTAGTAAAATAAATTTGCTCCTTTGTCTTTTCTGAACTTTTTTCTTTTATGCATTAAAAATAATTTGTATTGATGTCCTTTCCTTTCTACTTCTGTCACTACCCTTAAGTCCACAAGAAGCGTTCCACAAACACACCAATGCATTGGCCACATCTGGCATCTGGGCACCAGCTGGTGGTCATTAGAGTAGGAAGTGACCTCAGCGATGACAGGGCCAAATCCAAATTCTTCTCTTTGCCAATTAAAGCCCTTCACACACTGGCTCGCTTTGTCGGACGGGACTTCCCTTCACATACTCGTGATCTGGTCAGACTGGCTGCCTGGATGTTCCTTACACCCAACACAAGGCATCTTCAGCCTCCACACCTCCATACAGGCCATTTTCAAGGCCGCTTCTGTTCCCTGCAAAGCTCAGCTCAAGCATCACCTTCTTACGTGAGGCCTTTCCACATCTCCCCAACAGCTACTGCCTCCCCCAAAAAAGTCTCTTTTATTGAAGTATGTAAGCTGTATACTGTGTATGTGTGAGGGTCAGCGTGACACGGCAGCTAGAAAGCTGGCTTCCGAGTCAGAAAGGAAGGGGTTCAAGACCATCTCTGACACATGCTAGCTGCACAGGCCGCCTCTTGGCCCTCGGCCAGCGGTGACAAACCCAAGTAGAAGATGGCCACTCAACCACAGAAAAACCGCATGCTATTTTTAAACTATTATCTTTTAAAAATTATTAGTCATTTTTTTACATTTTTTACATGTTGAGTTCTGAATTCTCTGCCTCCCTCCCAGCCCTCCCTTACCTATTGTGAAGGCAAAAAAAGATATCAATTATACATGTGAAATGTATGTGAAATATGCAAAACCTATTTCCATGTTAGCCATGCTGTAAAAAAGAAAAAAAAATTAAAAAATGATGCTTCAATCCACCTTCCAACTCCACTGGTTCTTTCTCTGGAGGAGATGGCCATAGAAAACCACATATTAATACTATGTTCTATTGTATTTTGATTGATTTTGTTAAATATTTCCCCATTATATTTGAATCGGGTTCCCCTCACTAAGGTTGTGTGACACAGTGTTCATGTCACCTGGGGGCAGGGAGGCCTTCCCTCTGGTATCTGCATGCCCACTGCATGCCCATGTAGGTGGATGCTCCCAAGGTCAAACGGGTCGCCAGGGCAGCTCCCCAGACCTCTCACTGTGTCCTGTTGTTAACAGAGCTCTGACGTGACTGAGCCCAAGCAAGCAAACATGCTAGCATGACCGAGTGTAAGAGACTGGATACTGCAGACGCAGATCTCAGGTCATCTCACCACCAGTCCTTTTCGTCTACTTATAACAAAAAAAACGTAATCGATGCTTGTTAAATTAAGAAGCTGTACTGAGATTCAAATGAGATAACATATGGAAAGCATTTGGAAAACCTTAAAGCGCTTTATAAATATGAGTTGCTATTGTTATTATTATTACTTAGATGCGGACATAGATTCCCCTCTAAGACCCCACTCTGTAACATTTCATAATCAGGCAACGAAGATATTACTTAGCTAGTGTTCCAGAAAAGAGCTCCTACCTGCCACCATCCTAACTGTCCTCCCCCGCCAGCACCCCAACAACAGAATCCTTTTTCTTTCTTCCCCCACAACAAACACTTGCAGGTACTGCCTTCAGAACAGCCCAGGCAGCCTCCCCGTGGTGGAGGCGGCTTCCCTCTAATGAAAAGGCGAGGCTGCCAAGGGCAGACACAGAGCCAGCTTCCAATCCCTCTGACTTAGAAAATCAGGTCAGGGTGAGAAGAGAAAGAAATCAGAAGCTTCAAGATGGGAATCAGTCAAAAAAGAAAAACTAAATGAAAGATAGTTGTCTTAGCCTCCAAATTCAGCAACTTTTCTAAAAATTTACTTTAGTTGAAAAACTCACAAATGAACAGACTTCACAAACTAGAAACAAAGACATAGGAACAGATTCCAAAGACTGGGCTTTGCATTCATAAATATTTATTTCAAGGGGGGAGTTTCCCAAATCAGAATTTAAGATCAGGAAACTCCCCTAAAATGGAAACATTCCTCACTCTTCCATATCACCACCTATTCTAAAACTCAGGCTAAGTCATGCGGTAGGAGTTTCACTGTAAATGCTAAAGTGCCTCCATCCTGTGATTCCAAAGAAAATGCTGATGTAGCACGAGGGACACCATCAGTCAGGATGTCACTCACAGGCTTGTCAATGAAATTCCCTCCTCTTGGCCAGCCTTTGTGTGGTCACCTACATGTTTTTGTGGGGCTACTTTTAAACTGGAAAAAGCAGGTTACCAGAAGCAGCTCCATCAGATCACTGCCAACCACAGAGGACTGAATGAGGAAAGAAGGGCCTTTGATTCCCAGCTGATTATGGAAGCCCCAAAACAGGCTTCACAGATCCTGGTCTCCAACAACACAATTCACATTTACGTGGTCTCACGGATGCGTCACAAAGTGATGGGTTAGTGAATGTGGAACATCGAAGACGCATCAAAGACCTGAATCTGCACACTGAATCCCTCGTTAACAATATGTTAACAATGACGTTAAGCATCATCTGACTTTCTTTTGTTAATTTTTTTACCTTGAAAACTATGATATTACTAAGCCCTACTCCACAGCACATAGTA